AGGGAAGGGGAGAATGGTCTGGGGAAGTATGGAAAGGGTTGTAATTGTAGGCGTTTATCGCATAGAGGACATCGAGGTACTAAATCTGACACCAGACCGGTATAACTGTGATTCCAATACAATTAATCTGATATCAAAACACGTCAAACTAAAACACAAACAAGAAAACCTAGTCTAAGCAACATTACAAGAAGCTAAACTAAAACAGTAATTATTACATAACAACACAAAGGCCGAGCACATGACCCCTAACAATAATTAATCAAATAATAAACAAAAACAACAAGGGGAGAGAAAAATACGCTTACCGATTGTCCTCTCTGTACGCCTTATTAACCAGAAGTCGCAAATGATCGCAGATAACTCTATCGCACATACTCGCATAGACTCTCCTTTTAGCGACAGCGTACGAGGCCACAACGTACGAGGTCGCAATATGTCTCACTAAAACTTGATATTTAACTTAAAGATAGTTACAAATTCAGATAAATAACTGATAACGTTACTAGCAATTCAAGGCAGAGCGCCATGCTTTACTTGGTGTTAATATTTTTCCAAAACACGGTTAAATTGTAGGGATAAAGAATCGTATTCATTTCCAGGTTAAGAGTTGAGCCTTATAAAGTAGAGCCCTGTTAGTGGAAACTCGCGAAAATTTTCGATGGAGGAAATAACTTTTTTCATGCTTTAATGTTATAAAGGGCTTCTATTTCATTTATGCATGATGTCAACATAAGTACCCGCTCGCATCTTAGCTCTCATCACCCTAATTATAGAGAGAGAGACAGACGGAATAATATAGAGCGAGTTCACCATCTCGTTGTCATGGCAATTCTTGCGTATCGCCTGCTTGTGGCCTAACAGTGCTTCTTCTGCAACAAATTACTCGTATTTCCGTCTCTTCTGTTTGTTGAACTCGTTTTCGTAACAGCAGGTGGACAAATACCAGTCGAAATCGCCTGTTCCTCTCCGCGTAAATCAAAGGATTCATCAAAGAATTGAGCAACGTTAATGTAAAAGCTAAAAAGAAAAGTATATGGGCGACATTAAATTCTGTCACTTTGTCTAGGAAAAAATTAACGGATATCGAAATAAAGTTACAAAAGAAAACAGTTAGAACAATTGGCATCGTTGTCTTTAAGGTCTTTCTTTCCCTCTTGAATTTTTCCCTGGCTTCCAATGAGACTTGCTGAGAAGCAATTTGTTTCTCATGGCGTCTAGCCTCTATATAAATAGAAACATGGCATACAACAATTACTAGAAGACTACATACTAAAATAACCTCAACAAATACAACAGTCACAAAATCATGTTCAGAGTCTATAAAATCCTTGATTGCTGGAATAAAGGCTAGTATCCACGCTATCGCAGAAGAGATTATCAAAATCTTATTAGAGGAATAATTATTGTAGAAAAAGGGACGTTTTATCGCCAAAAATCTTTCCAAGCTTATCAATACCACATGAAACAGAGATACGCTGTAAAACATGGTGAATAAGATCCCCGAAACTTTCTCTAGCGCGCAAAACTCAGCA